CACTGTGAGCCCTGCCAATCCTTGCTGAGTCACCTGGTGCTCCATCTTCCTTCCCCTGCTCTATAAATGAGGACAACGGTGCTTATAATGAAACGGGGTTTATTAAAACAAGGGGAAAATCAACAACAGTAACCTTTTGAAACTGTCCTGGATTAGTTTCAGGCACTGCCTGGGTGTCAGGTCTCAAGTCTGGAGGTTCTGAGTTAACATGGCTTGGAGGGGTTTCTGTGTAGTCCTCTTTAATAGGGTTAGCCCCTGTTGTGCCACTAGATGGGTTCAATAAACAGGGAGGGCTTATACACCCACACTGAGGGCAGCAATACCAATTTCTGGCTCCCACTCCCCTTGGGTTACTGTTTCCTGACTTAGCAGGCTTGCTGCCATCTCTCCACCAGTGTCATGCCTGGATTGCTCCCTCCTGGGCTTGGCAGCAATGCTGTCCCCTCTTGCAGTTCACCCAGTGTGAACCATAATGGACTTGAGGTGCCTCTTCACCTGGTTCTTAGACACATGGACAAACTCCCTGGTCTAGGGGTCTTCCTTATAAATGTATTTACCCCAAGGCTCTGGACAGCTCCAGGTCCTCAGGGAGCTCTACATCTAGGTGGTAGGCCTGCTCCTCTGGGTCCTCTACCACATACCCCATGAACTCTCTTCCTCCATGACCCCCTTGGAGAACAAGTCTGCAGTCTGCACTCCTTGGTCTCCCTTTCACTTGTCTTCCCCAATACCACCACCTCCCACCTCTACTTCCAGTCCCTTCTTTGTACTTCCTAGGTCCCAGGGGTCTTTCCCTTCCTCTAGAAATGTCTCCTCCAGACCTGAGTGTTCAGTCTGACCTGCCCATTTCAGGAGTCTTGTTTGAGTTCCCTCCTCCTGGTGACTGAGTACTTTCAGTCAGCGTTCCCCTGGAGAGTCATCAGCCAACAACACCTCTGGGCAGCTCTCAGTACGGAACTCAGCTTCTGGAACTCAGCTTCTGGGGGAAGGTGAGATGGACTGCTGACAGGTTCCTGTGCCACCATTCCCTTCCTCACAGGCACCGTGTCCCCTGTTAGAAAATGTTCTTGTATTCCTATTAAACCCAAACCCTCTATTTCAAAAGACAATCTTGTGTGCTTTGTTGGTCTTTTCTCTCTCTCAACAGGTACCTCAAACAAGTTGGTTCTGCCAAAGGTAAATGAACTCGAATTTTTGTAGCAATCACACATGAAATAGCAAAATATATTTTCTTTGATTATTATATTATCCATGCAGTTTCTTCTTGCCAGTTGAAATGATTTTTTAAACCTACTTTATTTTCCTCTGGGTGTTGGGGTGTGGGAGTACTGCCATTCAGAACAGAGTCAACTGGAGATCACAAAGTGGAAAATGTGTTCCTGACATAATGCTAGATGCCGCATGATGGAGGGGCATACTGTTTCATTCTGTGCTTTGAATCTCACTAACATGCACTCCCTTCAAATCTGAACTAAAAAAGCGTGAAGGAAAGACAAAAGAAAATGAAACAATCTAAAAGGCAACCAATTAGTAATTCTCCACTTTCCCCACAATTAGCACCAGATGCTAGCCAATTAGACTCAACAGGTGTTCAAATGAGGCAATACAGACAATTAACTTAAGTGGTTCCACTTTCTTAAAAACTGTCAGAACGCAACCACCCTTCCATTTCATGTGCTATTTAAGTATTTGTAGCTCTTTAAAACATAGGCTTTTTTTCCTAAGGCCACAACTCAGCCTCTTATTTTGTAGGTGTGATTTGGTGCACTTAGAAATTTAATTACCTGGATGTGCTTGCAAATAAGGTAGTTATTTGGATGTCTGCAACATCAATTTGTCTGCAGTTAATTACAGATGTAAATTTGCACCTGCAAAATTGGAGTCCACATCTGAAAATCATTCTATAAATTCAGAAGGACTGGGAATACATTACCTTGTTTCATGTAGAACTAATTCTCTCTGTGCTTGTCTATCTTATCCCATACCCTCTGCATTAAAAAACACCCCCATACCCACTCCTCATATTAAAGCTGTAGGAAAGCCGAAACTGGAATAGATTGTTAGAGATGATATAATCTAGTGATTGGAAAAAGGAACACAAATCTAGTTACATTGTCCAAATGTTTAATGCCATAGATGTATCCATGGTATGGGAGTGAGGGGAATCATACCCTTTGTAGTTCTGTGACTCACACATGTGAGGGATTCTATGACTTTATGTAGCATGGTTTGGAATATTCTGGAGTTAAACAAAGTTTTGGAGGAAATCTTCTCTTTTCTGCCACAGTGCATGCTGATAAGGTATGTCTCCCGTTAGATTCTTTTTGTCTACCTCAAAAGCACTTGGAGTGTTCATAGAGATTTTCTTTCAGTTGCCAAAGAGCTACTGAGCACTTATTTATTCTTTCTTCTGTAAGTAAATCAAATAACTGGATTTGCCCTTTATTTACTGTTTTTGTGCTATCCTCAGATGCTTTCTGTGTGACCCAGAGGGTTGTAGCCTTGCCTTAGAAATGTAATATCCATGAGATTAAAATCTCTCCAACCAACTGGGCTAAGAGGTGGCCGTCCCTCTCCTTGGTATCTTACTGATTTTTGTAACATTGCCAGGGCACTGTGAAACAGACACAACATAATGGGGCTTCCCTTCATTTACACTGTGGTGTGGGATCATTGGAGGCTTCTAGTTTCATGGACCAGGATCAGTCATCAGCCTCTTCACATCACTTTGCTGTTCCTGACCTGAGGCTAGTCTCATCCAGATCTTTAATAACAATGGATATGCATTGTGCTGCATACACATGTTCTACAATAGATCTTGACACCAGTCAACTTTTGGCAGATTTAGGGCTTCTACTTTGGTAATAATAATATCTATCAAATAAACTCAGACTTATTCCAACCCTTTTCAGAGTTTTCTAGGTAAAAATAACTCAAGAGTGCTTTGCCATTCCTTCTTCTGGGGGCATCCTAGGACTGTGTTGTTTGCCCAAAGCCACATGGGCTGGTTCTTCTGGGATGCACAGTAGAGAATTGAACTCCTGACCTCTGGCTTTGCAGTCAGATATTATGCATATTATTAGACACAAAAGTGCATGCCCCAGTCAAACCAATTAAAGTCTATGGAGGAGAATCCGTGATGTTTGTGAGTTGCCTCTGTGTCCAGCTGCTTTGCTACATGATTGTTCTTAATATCTGGCTTGTGTAATGCAGCATATAGCCATTTTGTAATGATGATGTGAATGTCCTGTGTGTACCCTATCTCCACATGTTTATAACACTTTAAGTTGTTTTCACTTCTTCTCTGTCTATAAACAAACCTTATCTGCAGGTCTACATGTTCTAGCAGCTTGGAGGTTTAACATTATTTTTTTTAAATGGAAAATTCTATTGTACCTGTAGTCTTAATGGTTCTAGAGGTCTGTGTAAGATTATACTATTATGAACACCAGTAGGTTGTATTATTGGACCCACAAAAACAGCTTCATCATTACCAGAACTGCAATGCCCCCAGCTATTATTTTGGATCTGATCTTGACAATGCTCCTGCATTTAGTACAAACACCAAATTCTGCACTGATAATAGTTGTTCTTGTGCCCAGCTGGAGCACTCACATAGCTATTATCTGGGACTGTTGTTTTCTCAACAGCAGTGACAATAGGAGCTCAGATTTATGTGGAATAAGAATGTGATCAGAATAGTTTTACCATCACCATCAGTCATGTCTTCCTCTTCCCCAGATACAGCAATAGATTTTTGGAAATTGTTTTTATACCAGCACAGTTCTTTGTGAGTATGGAGAGGAACGGGAAATTTCATACTTACATCAGTGCACTCCATGCCCCTTAACATGTACCATGGAAGATTCAATGTTAGCTGCCCCAGATGGTCTTGATGTTGCCTGTTATTTGATGAAAATTATCTGATATATTTATTAATTGTACTTGATGCTTTTGATGCAATCAAAGGAAAGTTTTGGCATACAGATGTACATTTTAAAAACATCTAAGTTTTTTTTAAAGCAGAGTAAAGTTTTTCATCCTTATTTCACTTTATGTACAGCATTTATGTACATGCTTTTAAAAAATAATGAGCATGCAAAATAAATCCTTTAGTATATTGCATTTTGTATTTATTGGGTATTTATTCCCGCCAACCTAGCGGTTCGAAAGCATGCAAATGCGAGTAGATAAATAGGGACCACTTCGGTGGGAAGGTAAACAGCGTTCCGTGTCTAAATCACACTGGCCATGTGACCACGGAAAGATTGTCTTTGGACAAACGCTGGCTCTATGGCTTGAAGAGCGGGATGAGCACCGCCCCCTAAAGTCGGACACGACTGGACAAAAATTGTCAAGGGGAACCTTTACCTTTACCTTATTTATTGGGTGTAGCAGTGTTTTCTCTTGGCAGTACACTGCTATTTCTGTGTTTACATATTTGAAGTCTAGAAATGAGAGATTAGAAAGACTTTTAAGTCTCATTTACTTATGAGTAGGTGAATGACTTCTCCATCTAACCATTTCAAGAAACAGCCTTAAAGAGGACAGTGCTAATCATAATATCTAGATTTTGAGAATGATGGTGGCCAAAAGCTGTTATTCATCTAAATAAAGTATAAGTTTTCTTGAGAAAACATCTGCAGTGTTGGTGATAACAACAGTTGCTTCTGGTATGTTTTGGCTAGAATGAAGACGATATATGTACAAAGATGTTGTACAAATGTAATGCTAGTCAATAGAAGACCTGGCTTCAGTTGTAAAGTTCTTTTTCAGGTTTACATTGTAAATGTATGAGTTCAATTATTGTCAAGAGGAGAGCAAGCTTTTTCTCTTGGAGTCCTTGAAGCCTCATATGATACACAACTGTTTTGAAAAGAATTAAAGAAATACTTAAGTTTCCTAAAACAAAATCCTATAGCACAAAAGCGGATGGCTTTTCTGTTTTGTTGTTCATAATAAATCAATCAGATAAAAGTAAACTTATTGTTACTACTCAGGGTGAAACACGCATTATTCAGAGGCCGTTTAATGTCCTTGAGTTGATGAAGAAGTGGAATAACAGCTCTAGTGCAGAGAGCAGAGAAACAGGCATTCTTGAAGATGAACTAAATATTGCATCATCTTCTACACAATCAGAGGAAATCCATAAAAGTCAAGACAGCCCTGTTAGCAGCAATGGCAACTCTGATCCCAGTATAGAAACAGAAACAGAGAGTGGGAACAGTAAACCCCCGACACCAACAAAACAGGTAAACATTAACTATGATACTCATTAGATATAATACATTAAACTAGACAGTACCATAGAACTGTGTTGGTCAAGACATGATTTGTGTTAGGTTTATTATTATTCTTTTGCATTTTTCACTTTGATTTCTATTTAAAACCAAATGTCTTTTATTCTTTTTTTCAGGTTAAAAAGAAAAAAAATCATTCCAGTGTTTTACAAAATGGGACACTTAAAAAGAAAACTTCTTCGGTTAAATTATCTTCCCATGTGAGCATTACTCATTTTTTCCTTCTTAATCAAGGGGTCAGTTCAGTCCTGTAGTAGCCGCCAGCTAAGAACTTTAAGAGTTTCTGAGGTTGGCATTCAGTTTGCACTAATCTGGGATAATATGGAACCAATGGCTGAAATACTGTGCTTAGCATAATAGGTGGCACTAGAATAGGGACATTGGATCAGTGGATAAGAATTCTACATAAATGTCATTGATTCAGATGGGCCTACTTTAGTTGTGACTTACATTAAGAGAATTTCAGCCATTTAAAAAATGTGAGCCAGTGCTTTTAAATCAGCCTTCCTCAACAAGTTCTCAACCCTCCAAAATCTTCTGTGATGCATACCTACTGTATTTGTTACAGTAGCACAGAAAACTGTATAACCTACTGCATACAGATACTCCCACTTTACTCTCCGTTGGGATGTGCAGTACCACAGTTCCCTCCTATTTCCTTACCAGCACAGTCAATATTAAATGTTGTTCATTGGTTTTGTTGTTTCAGAGTGCGTCAGGTTCAGTGTCTCCAGGGGCAATTGCAAAGCGGAGTCTGGATAATCAGGAGAAGAAAATTGAAATAGAAAAGTGCTCTTTTTCTTCAAGTCAAGGATCATCAAGCAAAAGTACACAAAAATCAACTGTCCTAAGTAGCTTACACAAAACAAAAAAGAAATCTTAGGGGACATCCATCTATTCAGAATTCAGTTCTTATAAAGTAACAATTGCTGGTGCCAAACTGTGGCAACTGTATAAAAAAGGACCAGTGTATCCTGAACTCTTATGCCTTCTTTGTTGTTCTGAGACCTATAATCGTCAAGAGCTCCAGCTTCACAGTAGTGCTGATAAAAATTCTAAAGCAGTGTGAATTCCTAACCTATATGAGGGCATCCACTGATAGTACTACTTTCAGAGCACAGAGCTTTGTTTAAAAAAGGCTTTAATGATTGTAGACTAGCAGGCATCATTCCGGCAAGCAACTAGCTTCTTTGAATCCACTTGCTGTGTTTTGCTGAAGATTGTCGAGTATTGTCACAGAGATTTGTGAAGGGGAATGTAGGAAGCCAAATCTGAAATAGCTAAATGATGTGTATGTTTGTGTGGATATGTTTTAATAACTCTGCAGTTTGCACCTGAAAGAATTTGCTAAGATTTTGCTTGTCAACAGTTAAGTGTTATAACTTGTCCACCAAAGTCAGTGAAAATTGTTTTGGATAGTTTTTTTTTTGCACTACTGTCTGTTTAGGGAACTTTGAACATTTGTAGGTATTATGAAAAGTGCTAAGGTTCATTTTGCTGCTAAATTTCACACTTATTTAAATAAAACAGGTCTAAGAGAAATACTTCTCACATGCTAGTTAATCTTCATTTCTAAAAAAGGGTCATGCTCTGAAATAAATGTTAAATGTTTATAAATTTTTCTTATAATGTCCTTTGTTTAATTTTTCCCCATTAGATTTTGTTTGAAGATATACATGTAACGTGTGTTCCACCATGAAACTATTCAGGCTGTTAGGCTAAATATTTCTATGGAGCTTTGATCCAAATGTTTTCATAACAAGTTGCCATTGTTTCAGAATTTATGAGAAATGAAGCATAATTCATCCCATGATTGTAAGTAGCCCTGAGTCCCACTATACATCTGCAGAATTATCCAGTGGTTTAGTGAGCCTGGAGCTTGCTTGACCTGTCTCTGCTGGAAGCCCAGTCTTTGCAAGCTCCAGAGAAGATTCAAGGCCTGCTGCCTGCCAGTGACAATATACAGTATGACAATGGTTCGAAACCCACCCACCCTCACCCCTGAGCCTGGAAAATGCAAAAGTATTGAATGCTATACATTGCATGGTCTGTGGCTTCCTCTAGTGGCCATAACAATATGTATTTTGGGGGCTGGTTTGGGTTTTTTTTCAGATAGCAGATAAGTGAATCAGCAGACACTGATCCTGCAGATTGGGAGGACACTGTACATTGTCATTCAAAGGCCTTTGTAAAACATATTGAGCCATATTTCAGATATTCAAAGCACTATTTGGGATTCAATATGAATGTTATGATGAATGATTTGGGATGTCCATTTAAATACTCGTATATATCTGAACTATTTCCAAACAGGAATGAATAATATGAATCTGTATGAAATCAATAAAGGCACATTTTGTATTTCTTTTATATAAAATATAGGCTGAAATCCTGTTGCACACTTAAACAAACAGCATAGCTTTTAGACACAAATTGTGATAAGCTAAGAAATCTCCATAGATATCTAGGAGGCGGGGCTTGCGGTGCTCTCAGCAGCTCCTAGGAACAACTCCTGGGAAAAGCTGGAACTGCCCGATCTGGGGGGCCCTCAGGAGATGGGGGACCAAAAGGGAGGCTAGGAAAAGTCTCCCTGAGTAGCTGGTGAGCAACAGATGGGGAGGAAGCTGGGCAGCAACCTGGTATTTCTTCCCTCTGAAGAGATCACCTGAGCACAGATTGGATGCAGGAGCCATCTTGGGCAGTTAACTGTGAGTAACCCCCCCCCCCCAGAGGAGAGGAGAACAAACAAATATGGCGTTGAAAATGCACAACAATAAAGTAAGTTGAAGCCTTTGATCTATGAATAGCCCTATAAAGGGGAAAGAGAAACTAGAGTGAAAATATTTGCCTAAAAAGAAGGGAAGAAGCTTACCGGTCTGCTGTCTCAAAAGTGAAACTATCTTTTAAATTGCAGGCTGGTCAAGGCCAAAAATGACAGAGTGAGAGAAGAAAAATCTGATCCTGGAAAAATCCCAGGGTGAATTAAATAACAACGGACGGGACTTAAAGCTCTTGTCAGTAAGAAAAACAAACTGAATAATAATAACCCCGTGCTACTAGACTTCGCAACGGTTCTACCAAAACTTGGGAACTGTATAATATCCCTGGAGTGGGGAAGTCTTGGGAGACCCCTCTCAGAGGCTACGGTTGTAAAGAGCTATTTTATATACTGTGAGAAGGTAACTGGGAAGATACAGTTGTCAAGGGTGGACTGTGGAACTGGGAAAACCAGGACTGGAGTTGTTTGGTTGGATTTATGGTGGAAGGAGCATACAGTGGATTATAAGGACACCTTCTGGAGGAAGGCTGAGTGACAGTGTCAATACACCTTCTATATTATATTGGATTTGATAACTCTGGTAATAGAGGGTCTTTGGAATATCCCACTGAGATTGGAACTGTACAAATATTGAAGTGGGATAGCTGGAGATTTTTCCTAGCTTCGTTTTAAAATCTGGAACGTTAATTGGTACTCTAGAATATTGTATTGAGGCTGGAACAATCTGGAACGTTAATTGGGACTCTAGAATATTGTATTGAGGCTGGAACTGTACAAATATTGAGGTTTGAGACCCTGTAATTGTCAACTTGGACTTTCTTCATTGGATTGCATGGGACTCTGGTAATAGAGGTCAAGAGACATAACATCATTGCTAGGATTTTAGAGAAGAAGGAACATGATTGCCATGGTTATACTTTAAACTGCTGGGTTAAAAGCTAATTTATATACTATAATACCTGGGTAAAGATTGGAGGAAGATCTTGGGAGAGGTTGTTGGTTGTGGGTTTGTTTGTGGGTTAAATAGGGGAAATTTGTGAAAGAGTAAGTGGTGTATTTAAGGCTTGGTTATTTTGGTAAAGGGTACAGTGAAATTCACACAACCTCTATTCAGAGATAGTAGGAAGAATATTGAGATATTGTTACTGAAAAGATTGAAATGGCCTCCAAAAAACCAAAGCCCCAAATGCATGGAACCTCTCCTGCCCAAAGTCTGGGAAAACTAGTGGCACAAGAACCAGACAAAGAATGGTGGACCACCATGCAAAATTTACTAACAAGAGGATTTCAAAAAGTAAATGAACGTCTCAGCCAAGTAGTGGATCAGATGAAAGAGATGAAAACGGAGATATCAGAGGCCAAACAACACATACCTGAAGTGGAAAAAAACACACAAGATCTTGAGGAAAAAGTGAGAGGTACAGATTAGTGAATGAACCAAACTGAAGAAAGACATCAAGAGAAATCAGATCACCCATCACAATCAGAATCAGATACAGAGCTAGGAGAACAGGAAGTAGCTGAGCCAAGACGTACCAGAGGCATGATGAAGAGAAAACAGAAAGGCAGTAATCAACAACAAGATGACTAGAAAACAAATGATTTTTTTTTCAGTCAACATAAATGTTCTGAACCCACCTCAAAAATGGAAGATCTTTCTACAACTGCAGAAACAGAAATCTGATGTAATTTGCATTCAATAAACCCATATGAAAAGAGCAGATCAGAAACTGCTGGAATGTTCAAGACTAGGAAAATTATTTGTAGCTTTGGATATAAGTAAAAAGAAGAAAGGTGTGGCTATGTACATAAAGAAAGAACTGGAACCAATTTTTTTTTTGCCTCAGACAATGGAAGGATACTAATGGTGGAAGTCCAAAGAGAATCAAAGAAAATGCTAATCATTAGTATTTACACGCCAAATGGAAATCAAGAAAATTTTTTTAAAACAACTGCAACTAGAACTAACAAATAAAGATTATCACTACTATTGTATGATAGGAGATTTTAATGCTGTTTTTGACAAAGAACTAGACTCAAAATCAGATGAAATAACCAAAAAAAGAGAGAGGAACAATCTCAATTTTCTACAATTGGTGGAAGAAGTAAATATTATAGATGCATGGAAGACATGTAACCCAAAGACATGAGACCATACCTTTTATTCTAACAAGCATAAATCATGCAAGAATTGATAGATGTTGGATCTCAACAAGCCTAATGAAAGAACTAGAGCAAATAGACATCTTACCCAACAGATTTGCAGACCACAGTCCAATTTCATTACAACTGGGTAGCAAATCAAGAGAATTTAATTGGAAGCTCAATACTTCACATCTAAAAAATGAGGAATTTATTAAGCAAGTAAAAGAAGACATGGATTTCTTCTTCAAACAGAATATGAGGCCAATGACAATGGTCTGGGAGGCAAGTAAGGCATTTTTAAGAGGAGTAGCCATAAGATTTGCATCAAAGCAAAAAAAAGAGAAAGACAGAAAAAATATAAGATTTTGGAAAATAGATTAGCCTCAGATGAACTACAGCTGAAACGAAACCCAACAAATACAGAACTGAAAAAGAAGATAAAGTTAGTACAACACCAGATAAATATATTGCTCACTGAGGAAACTGCAAAGAAGCTTAAATTTGCAAAGCAATTTTTTTTGAAAATGCAAGCAAGATGGGGAGATGGTTAGCATATAAATTAAGGAAAGAGAAAGAGAAAACAATAATATGAACATTGAAAGATGAAACAGGGACTGAGAAATTTAAACAAGTAGAAATAAAAAAGATTGTTGAGGACTTCTACCGCAATTTATACAATAGAAAGGAAGTAGACAAGGAAGCTCAGAAAGAAGATGTAATAAAATACAATAAAATGAAACTAACTAAAGACCAAATGCAGTCCTTAAATGA